ATCCTGGCTAAAACCAGGACATATGGGTCTCTCCTGGGCAAGGGGTCCTTGTGGACTCTCCATGTCCCCTGGGAGAGGGGGGGGGGATCCTTCAGGAGACATTTTGGAGCTGCAGCTTTGCTCTGAGTTGCCCAAGAGAACGTGCTTCCTTCCACTAATGGTACAGTGTGATTTGGCTTCACGCTCGGAAACTTTAACCGCCTGAATAGACGGCAGGAGACTTGTTGCTCTATTTTCAGGGTTCCAAGGAGCTCATGTAGCTATGCATGTTGTGGCTCATGCTCCATGGGTGACAGTGAGCACTTCTCTTCAGATTTTTCCAGCTCATTTTAGAAATGCAGAACTAGAAAAGAAAAACAAATCAATTGAAGCCTTTGCCCACCCAGTTGTAAGCAGTACAGCTCTGCCACCAGCACGTTGGTGTATGTGGTAAGAGCTGCTCTCACTCCATATATCCTGCCACTGTGTGAATTAAAGTGACTGAGAACTCCCAAAAGCAGCGAATCACACCATGACACCCCCCATGCATTGCACTGAACAGCCAAGGGTGCAGTTTGGTACTTTTAATTATGGCCGTGATGGTTTGGATGTCTGTTCAGCCAAGTGTGTGTGTGGAAATACCATCACCCTTCATGACCTACATTTCTGACCGTAGAATTAAGTGGAAAAGAGAGGTCTCTGGTGGAGAAGAGGATGAAGATGGAGGGGAGCAAGGCACCAGTGGAGAGAGTGAGCCTGAACCGAAGAAAGTTAAAGCAAGAAGACCTGTCCAAAGGAGGTGAGGAGTGGTTGGTTCAGTCTCCTTTTCTGCCTGTGCTGAGTGGAGAGGAAATCTCTATTTGTCACTAAAAATTGTGTATTTTTCCTGCAATATTACCCTTGTTTATGACCTAGTAAACCTAGGGCCTAGTTACTCCCTTGTCTCTCCATTTCATGCTCCAGTGAGCGATGCAGTGGTTTCCATGGCAGAGCAGACTAAATCCCTTAGGAGTCTAATATTTGATACTCAGGCTTTCTTAAAGGCTTACTAAAACAGATGTTTGCATAAACCACGCTGTATTACAGCTTTATTAATTCTTATTTTAGAACAGTGGCCAAAACTGGTGTTAAAAAGCCCCACAAAATCCAGCGTGGGAAGAGAAAGAAACCAGACTCCTCTGAAGATGACGATGATGACGAAGACGATGAGACCCCCAAGAGACAAACTCGACGAAGAGCAGCCAAAAATGTCAGGTATGAAGAAGGTTCTGTTAGAGAAACATGAGGAGGTTTGTGTAATGTTTCTGAAGCACTCTCAGATGGGATTGAGATTAACAATTGCAGATAATAGATGAAAATGAGTTACAGGGAACAGCTGTGCTGGTTTGGACCAGTTGTCTGAGAGTGGCTGATAGGCAATGCCTTGGAACAGAGTATTGAGACATGGTGGAGGTAAAGCTTTATCCATTCCCCAACATACCTTCTCACCTCTCAGCAATCCTAATAAGGGACTTGGAAACAATCACCCAAATGATATTTTGTGGTGGTTAAACTTTCATCAAAGATGAGAAGTGTAGTTCCTAGGGCAGTGTAGGCACCCATACAGCCTTTCAGTGCTCTGCTACCTCCATTGTTAAAATAATCTTTCCTTGAATAGAGGAGTCTTCCTCTGTTGATTGATGGCCTGGCTTCTGCTGCAGTGATTGTTCCACCACCTTGTGAGGCATCAGATGTTGGCCATGGTCAGAAAAACAGTATGGAAAGATAAAGTGTGATAAAGTGAGTCTGATAACTCTATGAGAGTCTTGGGGAAAAGTACTGAATGGGTGACCTAAGACATGCATATGCCAAACATGCACTGAACCACAGAATAAATACTGGAGAAGGTGCTCCATCCAGTCTGTGCCATTCTGTGTTTTGGTGGATTGGGAAGAGTCAAGGACTTTATATCAGTTTGGTTTTGATCTTATTCAGTTACAAAGAGGATGATGATTTTGAGACGGATTCTGATGACCTGATAGAGATGACTGGGGAAGGAGCTGATGAACAACAAGACAACAGTGAAACTATTGAGAAAGTCTTGGACATCAGGCTTGGAAAAAAGGGAGGTGAGTAGGTCTGGAAAAAGCCTTTATTTCTGATGGCAGTCACGTGGACTCATGGTTTCTCTTGAGCTGGTGCAATGTGTTTGCAACTTCAAAGTGGGGCCAAGGGTTGTTTCAGTGCTCTTTAGCCTTTCCTCTGTGCCTCTCATTTATGCCTTCTTGCAGCTTTTGTAACATCTAGTATTGAAAAACCTAAAATCTCTAGTTTGTGTGCTCGGCAGCTTTCATTTAGCCTGCACACATTTTAAAGACACAGTCATTGTTCTGCAATTCCTGCTTTTAGCTTCTTTGAAATCTAAAATGGATCTTCCAGTAGAGTCAGTTTTCACAGCCCTATTGACAAAGCCATAATGAAAATAAAGCCGATGTTTTGTTCTCAAAGCCTTACAAAAGTGTTTTTGTAAAACTGAATGGTTGTGAACATTTTCAAGAGACCTTTGAATTACAGTTAAAGAAAAGGTACTTACAACACGGAGATTTAAAAAGATTCTGTTGTATGGAAAACTTTTGTGTGCCTGCCTTATAGGGTTGCAGAATCTGTAGGATATTCTTTGTGCTGCCACAAAGGATGTATTAGAAGAATAACTTTCTGCTCTAATGTGGTTCATGTCCAGTGGTTGATAATGAAGGTACTGACTGCAGCCTGATTTCTTTTGCAGCCATTGGTGCTTCCACCACAGTGTATGCAACTGAAGCCAACGGCAACCCCAGCGCGGACTTCGATCCGGAGAAGGATGAGGGAGAAGTTCAGTACCTGATCAAATGGAAAGGCTGGTCCTACATCCATAGCACGTGGGAGAGTGAAGAGTCCTTGCAGCAGCAGAAAGTGAAGGGCCTGAAAAAGCTAGAAAACTTCAAGAAAAAAGAGGAGGAGATCAAGCAATGGTAGGCTTCTGTGCAACCTGTGATTTGGCCTTGGGCAGATAATTTTTAGCCAGAGGTTTGCAGGGTCATGACTGAAAACATTTGATTTCTTTTTGCAAAGGGTGTTCCATGTGCACAGCACTCAGGTCTCTCGTTGCCTACTGATGAATATCTCCCTTGGTAGAGATGATGTCTGTGGTGTTGAAATGGACAGGAAGAGGCATGAAATCCACACTGTTGCTGCTTCCCAGGCTTAAGAGTTGGGGTAGTTGACAACAAATAAATGATACACAGCCTAACCTGGCCTGGGAGGTGACATGAGGACTTGCAGCCTTAGTAACCCTTGTTAATTATGGGCTTGTCTGTATGCAAGTCTTGGCATCAGTTTATGCCAGGGCTCTGCAGGAGCTACAAGGGGAATTAAGGGTGTGTTTCCAAAGTGCTGAAGCTGAAGCAGCAGCTTCTATCTCTATTTAATTCTGGTTTTGAGAATGAATCTTGCAGCAGGATAAGGCAACATTTGGCAGGGAGACAGTCTGAACATCTATGACATTTGCTTCTCAGCAATAATTTCTAATTATAGGAAATTTAAGAATCATGTCATATAGGCAGTAGTTTGCTCCAGGGACTTGCCTGAATGACAGAATCACATGGGAAAGTAGATTTTCTATATGTGGCATCCATGAACCTTATGACAGAAGCATTATAGTGGCTTTTTTGGTTTGGATTTTTTTGCATCTAGGCTGGGCAAGGTATCACCTGAAGATGTAGAATATTTCAACTGCCAACAAGAGCTGGCTTCAGAGCTGAACAAACAGTATCAAATAGTGGAGAGAGTAATTGGTAAGTGAAGCCAATGTTTTGGTAAAGGAGTGAAGTGGGAACTTTGAGAGCAGAATGAGTGTGTGGCTCTCTCATCTTCCCTGTCCCCAGTATCCCTGAGGAAAAAACCCTGGTGTATTTCAGTGTGTGAAATTTGGGGATTTTTACAGGAGAAATCCAGGTTTACAGATTTTCATTTTTAAGCAACATAAATCAGTCCCTTACTTGCCTGGAGTATGGGGTGATACACTAGTGTCTGAGGGGATGCTGAAGGTGCTGCTGCTGAAGTTCTTTGATTCCAGCCCTTTGGATGCAAGGTGTTTGTATGCAAAGCAGCACTACAGGCCTGGTTTTCGTAAGGACCACTTTCCATGGTGTGGTCAAGGATGTGGTTACGCTGCAAGGCAGCTCAGGGGTGAGATTTTCATGATTAAGTAACAAAAATGAAACCAGCATTTACTGAACACTGTGGTAATATCACAGTCATGTCAGTCAGAGGCGTCAGCATCCAGTTGTTTTGGGAATTGTCTTGGAGAGCTGTTTGTTTCCAATAGAATTGCTGTAAAGAGGTGGAGTGTGGCGGTGAGAGCCTGCCCTGCTCCCTCTGCTGGCTGCCAGCATTCCAACCGTCCCTTCCCCTCTTCTCCAAACAGCTGTGAAGACCAGCAAGTCTGCCACGGGACATTCAGATTTCCCAGGTAAAGGAGCATATTTTGGTCCCTCTACACTTTTCCTATGAGCCAAGACCTGTCTGGTGGCTGTACAGGTGGTTCAGCCTGTGCCTGTGAACTGCACTTGCGTTTCAGCCACTCAACCACATGTGCTGAGGTTTGGGCTTTCTTTTTGCATGTTTTACAGCAAACAGTCGCAAAACATCCTCAAATGACCCTGAATACCTGTGTAAGTGGATGGGGCTGCCCTATGCCGAGTGCAGCTGGGAAGATGAGGCTCTGATAAGCAAGAAATTTCAGCACTGCATCGACAGCTTCAACAATCGTAACAACTCCAAAACGATTCCCACCCGGGACTGCAAGGTGTGCTAGCTTCTCTTCTCTCCTTTGCTGGGTTTCTCCAGGCTGAGGAATGACACAAGCAGTGGGAATGTGAAGTTTTGTCAGGATAAATGTCAGAGAACATTTTCCCATCCTCCCACCAGTGCTTGAAGGATTGTTTGCTGTTCTTGTACTTTAGGCAGAGATGTGAACCCCTTTGAGTTTCATTTACTCCATGCACAGTGAGAACGTTATGTCCCCCCTGGGGAGTGGGAGGCTTAATTAATCCTTGCAAAGTGCTTCCTCCTCAGAAGGAGCTGCAGCAGGTTTAATATCAGTTGGATGAAAAAACAGCACACCTGGGAAAAGAGGAAACCTGCAAGATGCTGATGCAGTCGAGGAAAGGGACAGAAATAATGGGAGAAAAACCAAAAGAGGACAAAAAAGAAAGTGGAGCTTCTTCCAACTCTTGTGCATTATGTGCAGCTTACTGCACTCCTGAAGGGACTCAGAGCCTTGGTCATCAGAACCAGAGGATAGCAGGCAAATCACAAGAAATGCACACACAACACTAGCTAGGAAAATGTGGAAACAATAGTTAGGAAAATGTGGATGGATAAACACTCTTCACTGAATTCATCAAATGCTGAATTCACTGCTGAGTTTTCAGCCGCTGATTAATTTGTCTATATCTTCAGTGAACTTACAGCAGCATCTGTTTCAGGTATTGAAGCAGAGACCAAGGTTTGTTGCCTTGAAGAAACAGCCCTCGTACATCGGCGGTGAGAACCTGGAGCTGCGCGATTACCAGCTGGAAGGTCTCAACTGGCTCGCTCACTCCTGGTGCAAGTACGTGCAGAGCTGTGACGTTCGTTTTGTGCCTCCTGCTTTTTGTCTCAGTAGGATTTGGCCCTTTTGTTTTCAAGTCAGGTCTTTACCCTCCCTCCTTCTGCAGCTTGAAGGATTTTGAGTGTTATCACGCCCAGCTGCATTGCAGACACCGCAAGCAGGAGCTACCTAAAGCTTGAACTTAAGAAACCTTGTGAGAAAACAGAAAGCATTTTCCCTGTCTGGGCCTGTTCCCATGCTGAATTTGGCTGCTGGGTGAGCCTGGTACATATCAGTCCTAGTTTTCCATTGCCTTAATGGAAAAAACAGTTCTGGCTCAGCACATTGAAGTCTTTGAGAAATGTCCTTCTAAAATTAGGCCACTCACTCTCCTCTCCCCTTGCCTTTTTCCTCCATCATAGTTCATTTTTGCGCCTTACTGTGCCATGTATAGTCTGGATGTCCCTGGGATCCACTTGGAAGTGTTCAGATAACTGTTTTTGCACTGCCCCTCTCTGTCCTTGTTGTGGATTGCTGCTCGTGTGGAACACAGTAAATTAGTAGTGGTGGAAAAACACACTCAGACAGCATTTGTGTTTGTTCTCCTCTTCCTCAGGAACAACAGTGTAATCCTGGCTGACGAAATGGGACTAGGCAAAACGATTCAGACAATATCATTCCTGTCGTACCTATTCCATCAGCACCAGCTCTATGGCCCTTTCCTGGTGGTTGTGCCCTTGTCCACTCTCACCTCTTGGCAGAGAGAGTTTGAAGTGTGGGCGCCAGAGATAAACGTGGTGGTTTACATTGGAGACCTCATGAGCAGGAACATGGTGTGTAATCAGAGAGCAAAGGGTGAGGGGCTGGATAGAAGCACTGGGGGCAAAGCAGCAGCTTCTGTGTGATGTGTGTGACACACATTCTGCTGGAGGGGCTGGTGGATAGTACTGCAGGCAGCTGGAGCTGAGTAACTGAGCACGTGGGTGTAACTCCCTGCTGCAGGGAATTCTCTACCTTATTTCCCCTCATGGAGTGAGCACAGGAGTATTGGCTTCTCCCAGAGTCTGGAAACCACTACTGCTCTGGGCTGAAACAGACTGCAGTGAGGAGTCCAGCACTTTCAGTGCTTGTCTGCTGTTTTCAGAATTATTCAAACAGCAGAACACTCAAGTGTTGGGAGTCTAGTGATGTCCACAGTGAGGTGATGTGTTCATTTTAGCTGATGAGGGTAATGTCACAGCAGCAAGCTGACCTTGTTCTATTACCTGTGCAAGGGCAGTTGAACCATGTGTGCACTAAAACAAGCTGCTCCTTGGGCACCCTGAGCTCATCAAATGGTGCCTTGAACCACAGGGGTTTGGGCTTGGTTGGAGTCTCTGACTACAGCTACACTAAAGATTGTTAACTCTTTCCTTGTGATAACCTTGGTCGAAGTTAACTTTTGTCTCCTCTCACAGATACGTGAATATGAGTGGATCCATTCTCAGTCTAAAAGACTGAAATTCAATGCACTTATCACAACCTACGAGATCCTCCTCAAGGATAAGGTAATGGTCCAAGAATGTTTATATTTAGACTTTCTCTGATTTTCAAAGGGGGACGCCAGCCCCCAGCTAGTGAGTTTCACTCTTCCTCTGTGATGATGGAGAACATACAGCTACTATTTGCTTCGCTTGCCAGTAATGCTCAGGGAACGTGGGACACATGTTATAGTGTCTCCACTCTTGTACTGGACAGTTGTGTTATTCTTTTTGGCTGTAAGACACCAGGCAGGTCTGTAACTGGGGTTTTGCCTGGTTTAATTTAGACTTGTTAAGAGGACAAAACACTACATGGAACCTCTGGCCACAGTGTTAACAATATCTGGATTTTTACACCTAGGAGAGATCTGTCTGCTTGGGAGATACTCTTCAGCTCTGTCAGTGCATCACTGAGTCCTAGCAGAAAACAAAAAGCTTAAAAAAAGTAATTTTTAAATCAGAACTCTCAGGTAACCTGAACTTTATAGGCTTGTTTGTCTGCTGTCCTGCTGCTGCTCCAGTGGGACTAGTGCTACCCGGGGCTCCAGGGGCTTGGAGAAAGGGGGGAGTAGAGACCTGGGGAATGACTGTGCTTTCTGAGTAAAGCAAAGGGGGGGATTAGAATAGGTACACTTGCTACAAAACTATTCAGGTATGGCAGGAGTGTTATACAGCATGGCTAATTTTCACCTTTTCATTTCTGGGGAGGCAAAACTAGTGTAAGCATCTTGGTTCCTGAATTCTGTTAGCAAGAAACTCTTGTGAGTCCAATTCTGGCAGTGAGTCCAGCCCCAGGGCTGGGGCAGGACATCCTGGACAGCACACACTGCAGTGCTTTCTGGCCCTGGAGGGAGAGGCATGTGCAAAGTGGTGGTGAGGCTTGTCTGACCCAGCATCTCCTTGACACCTGTGTCTTTTTTCTTCTCTTCCTCCAGACTGTTTTGGGAAGTATTAACTGGGCCTTTCTAGGCGTGGATGAAGCCCATCGGTTGAAAAATGATGACTCTCTGCTGTACAAAACATTGATTGATTTCAAGTCCAACCACAGGCTGCTGATCACTGGCACCCCTCTTCAAAATTCACTCAAGGAACTCTGGTCCCTGCTGCATTTCATCATGCCAGAGAAGTGAGTCTCCTCTTGGTCCTTCCAAGAAATCTCTCTCTGTCCATTCTTGTCTGTTGAATAGGCTCAAGGGAGTGCAGAATGGCAGAAATCCCTGAATTAAAGCAGTGAATGAAACTCAGTGGAGTGGAAGCAATGAAAGGGGAACAGACATTGGTGGGGAAAATCAGAGGTTAAATAACACAAGGAGTATTTCTGGCAGCAAACTGAATGGGGAAACCTAATACATGCCTTTCAAATCTGTCTGCTGTCTTCAAGCCATCTCTAAAAAGCTAAACTTGTTTTAAGCAATCATCTCAGCTATTTCTGAGGTTTCCAGTACACTGTGGTTCAGGCACCCTTGCCAACCTTTTCATGGCAGGCTCTGGGAGTATCACTCTGGGATGGTGCTGTCTGGCTGGTCATGTGTCCACAGTATACCAATGTTCTGTTTTCTTTAAAACAAAATGGGCTATGGGCATTGCTAAGGCTAAGGCAAGTGTGCCCTAAAGCTGACTAAAGTTATGTGTAACTGAAATAAGACCTGTCACCCAAATTCTTTTTGTTGGATCACAGAAAGAGTGAAGGAGAGGTTTGAGGTATCCCAAATGGAGGAGAAGAGCAGATCTCTACATTTCAAAGGAGCTGTCAGAGGAAGCAGCAATCCAAAAGAGCCTTCAGAGTAGTGTAAAACATAGTCCAGTTGTCAAAGTCCTGCCTGGGAGAAGGCACTGTGGAAAGTTCAGAACCTGTTGCCAGGTAAATGCCAGCAGAGCAAAATAGTGGAAAACTTGGGATTTCAGGTCCTGGAAGTCAGTGTGGAGCTCAAAAATAAGATGTTAGGAAGACACCTAAGCCCAGAGAGCTTCTATCTTTGCCACCATTCTGGTTAGCCAGAGCAGAGAGAACCTTTTAACCTCCACTGTGTCTCCCATTAAATGGAATGATCTCCTGTCTCGTGCAGCAGGAGCACATCTGATAGATGCTGTTTTTGGGATTTCAGGTCCTGGAAGTCAGTGTGGAGCTCAAAAATAAGATGTTAGGAAGACACCTAAGCCCAGAGAGCTTCTATCTTTGCCACCATTCTGGTTAGCCAGAGCAGAGAGAACCTTTTAACCTCCACTGTGTCTCCCATTAAATGGAATGATCTCCTGTCTCGTGCAGCAGGAGCACATCTGATAGATGCTGTTTGGTGTCTTATATTCTAAC